GAGTGTGGCTCAGGGTTAATTTTCACTGCCAGAAGCGGTAACCCCTAGTTTTTATAATTATTTATTATATTATAATTTATGATTTTGTGTTTCAAACTTTATCATGCCTGGGATGCCTACTAGACTCTTGTTTGGACAGATTTAAGTGCGTAATTCCTAAGAATTAAGGCCTACAATATAAAACAACAGATTTCCATGCAAAACAATGTACCGCTTTGGGTACAAAATTACTGACATAATTAGACCTTCAGGGAGGTTAAGGGGGCCATCCATCTGATTGCCTAGAAGGAAGGCTATTAGTGTACATCCCACTCATACAAATAGGGAAAGTATTCAGATATTAAATATGCCGTAAGAAGTTTGGGGGATATTTATATGAATTAAATATATTAAGAGCCCTTATTACAAGCTTTTAAGAATATTGACTTCTAAAACAAATAATGTTGCAGTTTATGCTTTCTGGAAATGTAATAAGAGAATTTCATCTGCCAGGGATGTCCTGAGCAGAACAAATACCTGAGCCAAGATGCTGCACAATTCTATAGATTTTGAGTGTTTTCAGCGTGTAAACCTGTATTATGCTCTGAGTGGGTACAAGGAGGAGTGGACATGGTATCTGCTCTCAAGGTCGTGACCATATAGTCATGGAAAATGACACAGATGCACAAATAATTAAAACTCCTTTTGGGGAGATTAAAGAGGGAGAAGTAACGTCCTTTGGTGGAATCAGAAAAGGCTTCAAGAACTTGGGAAATTTGGGATGAACCTTGAAGAACACTAGGATTTCATTAGGTGGCAATTAAGAAAGGAGGAGAAGAAGAATGTGACATTTTGAGGGGCACGAGGCAAAAGAGCGACCCTTTGAGGGTTCGGTGTGGTTAAGGGACTTAATCCAGGAATTGTCTAAATACTGGAAATGTAAGTGGGGTTAGACTGTGTAAAACCTTGGATGAATGGTGAATGCCATCATAAGGATTCTACAGTTGTTGGTGGATTAGGGAGCTATGGATAAGATATATATCTTTTTATTTTGAAACCACCTAAAACTTACAGAAAAGTTGCAAGTACAATACAAACGACTTTTTCCCCCCCCCCGTATTACTTGAGAATAAGTTTCCAACTTCATGACCCATTGCCTTGGAATTGTTGAGTATATAATTCTTATAAAAAACTGTTCAAAATTAGGGATTTAATATTGATACATTACTGCCATCTAATTCTTGGATTCAATTCAAATTTTGCCAGTTGTCCCAATCATATCCTGTTTAACAAAAGAACCCAGTTCAGAATAATGCATTGCATTTAGTTGTGATGTCTAGTCTCCTTCTGTCCGGAACAGTTTCTCAGTCTTTCCTTGGCTTTTATGAAGTTGACACTTTTCAAGAGAACAGGCCAGTTTGTGTAATGTTTCTTCATGCTTAGATTCAGATTATGCATCTTTGGCAGGAATATCATAGAAGTCATGCTGTGTTCTCAGTGCAGCCTATCAGATGGCACATGATTTATCTCATTATTTACTTTGATTATTTCATTATAATGGCGTCTGCTTGGCTTCTCCACTTTAAAGTTACTCTTTTCCCCTTTGAAATTAATAAGTATTTTGTGGGGAAGTATTTTGAAACTAACTAAATGGTCCTTTCCTCACCAAAATTTCAATTTATTTATTTATGTCAGTTATTTTACTCAGTGGATTGAATCATTACTGTCAGTATTTACTCTTACAATGAATTTATTCCCATATTTTGGCCAGTGATAACCTCCTCAAGCTGGATCCTTTGTCCTTCTGACATGGCCTCATTATTCTTTGAACACTTCCTTACTTTCTGGCACCAAAAGATGCTTGGTCTTGTACTTTTCCTGTCTCAGTCCTAGAAAAGGCTAGAAGACCAAAGTAGTTGTCTTAAAAGGGAATGTCATAACATGATTGAGATGTTAACTACAATGGGATGTTAATACCCATTATTTTCTATTGTGTTGAAAAGCAAAGGATTTTTAGAACCCTTTTATATATTCATAGGTATAAAGTTATTGAATTATAGACTTGGTTTGAATATAAGCCACATGATAATAAAGAATGATGATAGGAAAGATGATGTAGCAAAAAAGAGATGTGTCCTCTGTAAAAGGGTAAAGGTTGTTATTTTTGCTTATTGAGTTTGTGTGTATATGCTATTTTTAAAATATTAAAAATTTTGTGATAATTAGGGAATCATGGCAGCTGATGAAGACAGCAAAAAACAAGTTTTTAAGGCAGATTGGCATGGTGATGAAACTAAGAAAGATGAACAATGTCAGGTAAAAGGGAAAAATTACTGGGTCTTATTAAAATTAATTTATATCTATTAGTTTTGCAGTGAAGCGTGTTTTTTATGTCTTTATCCAACATTACTTTGAATTTGGGAGGATATTAAGGTTTCCAATTTTTTTTTTTACTTCCATCATTCAAGCCTTACAAGAAGAATCATATTACTACTTTGTTTTACAAAGCTTACAACATTAGCTGCTTTTTCACTCCCTCATTTCTTTGATTTGCACCTAGAAGTTAAGAGCTTAGTTAACAATTATCTGATCAGACCCAAGAGGGAAGGGAAGCTCAGGTAGGTTAAACCCTTTACCCAAGACCATGTCTGGCGTGTCAAGGCAGCTCTACTATGGAAATCACAGCAAATTTTTTAAATTGCCCCAGAGCAACATATGTGCAATTTAAAAGTCATACTCATATTGTAGTCACACACAGCTAGGAAAGGAGTTGATAGAGCACTGAACTTAGGTTCAGATCTGGATGTCAATCCTTGCTCGACTATAAAAATTTCTGTGACTTTGATCTATGTGAAAGGTGGTTTCCTTGTTTGTATAATGGAGATAATAATACTTGGGAGTGGTAGGAGATGATATAAAACATTCAACAAATTTATTGTTCATGTGATCATATTTATTTTGAGGCTGTCTAATGTCTTTCTTAGCCTTGTTCTGGGCAAGAGAAATTTAGCTTCTTTAATTCATTTAGAAAAATGAGGTCGGGGCTGTTTAAATTTTTGGTGCTATTCGATATATATATTTTTTAGGCCTTAATTGGTGAAATGGCAAAGGAAAACACTGAATTAAAGGAGGAGATCCAAAAGCTTGAAGCTGAGTTACAAGAGGCCACCAGAACCTCTCAGGTAACCCCTTTACTTGTTGTATATATCACATTTTTAATGACAGAATTTTTCAGAAAAAATGATTTCATTATATAAAATTCACTTTTAAAACATTATGATCATCCACCGCACAACTGTTTGTAAGAGCCCCAAAGTGAAAACAACCCACTGTCTGTCTGTAGTAGAGTGAATTAATAAATTGAGGTGTATTCACACAATGAAATACTACATGCAATGAGAATGAACAGACTACGACTATATGCAATAATATGGATAAATTTCATAAACACAGTATTGAGCCAAAAGAGATAAAAGAGGGCATCCGTATGCTTCCATTTAAATAGAGCACAAAAGCAGGGCATTAAAGTTAGAAAGGTGATTACCCTTGGGGGCAGGAAGTAACTATAATAGAAGAGAACCCAAGAGGCTTCTGGAGTGTTGATCTGGGTGCTGATCACACGTGTGTGATCACTTTGTAGAATTTCATCTTGATGTACACCTATGATGCACTTTTTTACATTTATGTATACGTTAATAAAATTTACAAAAACAAAAAGGTCTTTATCAATCATTTTTGGACCACATTCTTGTTCTTCTCACTAAGTTCTTTTTTGTTCTCCTCATCCAAGGTGCTATAGTAATTTAAATGTGTTTCAGCTAAAAAAAAAATTGAATATATATTATCTTCATTATTTTTGCCTACAGGTTTTTCTGTATTTGAATTAGACATAATATTCACCCCTTTTTCTTCATAACAACTCATATTGTTAAAAAAATTAAGTTTACTTACATGATTTAAATGCTTAAAGCGTCACTTTTTGTTTCTGAAATGGGGGATAAGGTATTCAATGTCAGGAAGTGAGGCTTCTCATGTTGAGACTTAGAGATGACTCTATTAAGATCCTGGTTACTTTTCAGACTGGAGCCAGAATTATTTATTTAGTCTTACATCTCAAAGGGCCTTGAGAAACCAGCCAGCTCAGTTGATCCACTTTATAGAAGACTCTAGCCGTGGTCAGGAGAGCACAAGCGAATTGTTCTCTGCCACAGTGTGCTCAGGACTAGAATCAGGCATTGCACTCACTCCAAAAGCTCTTGACTTCTCTCTAGGTGCAGAGATATTGCTGGTTCCATTCCAGACCACTACAATAAAGCGAATATTGCAATACAAGTGAGCCACTCAAATTTTTTGGTTTCCCAGTGCATATAAAAATTATGTTTATACTGTACTGTGATCTCTTAAGTGCAATTATATTATATGTAAAGAAACAATAATATCTTAATTAAAACATTATCACTAACAGTGTTAACCATCATCTGAGTTGTCAGCAAATTGTAACCTTTTTGCTGGCGGAGGGTCTTCAACGTGTAAAATACCCAATATCTGTGAAGTGCAATAAAATGAAGCACGATAAAACAAGGTGCGCCTGTGTACAGGATATCTCCACATTATTGGGAAACACGTTGCTTTTTCTCAGACATTACAGATTGCTTTGAAATCGGAATTATGGTAATCAGAAATTCTGCTGCAGTTACATGTAAAGATATATATGAATATAAGATTCCATCAAATGACTGAATATTTCTGATCTCTTTGTGATAAGACCTTTTATTTCAGCATGTCAATAACCATGTGAAATAGAAATGGAAACTCCAGACTCATTTGTGCTTTTCTGTGTAGTTGTATAGGTCTGGTGGTCCCAGTGATTGTAAGCAGCTAAGTGTTAACTACTTAACTTTATCCTCCACATTACAAAGCTTGTTGATAGTGTCCCTTTCCATTTTTATAAACCTAAGTTGTGGTAATGGTTAAAAAGTTGATGGGCAGGTGTTGGGGAAGGGGGAATTTAAATTTGATAAATTTGCAGTCATATAATTGAGGAGTCTTTTTTTTGGATGAATTTATCTGGGTTTGCTATCAAAATAACTGTAGTGTACTCCTGATTTCATGCCATAGTCTTTGCAGTAAGAGCAAACATTCTGTCTAATGATTTCCTTGTGAGCTAGCCTATTGTTGGCACAGTTATTTAAAGGGTACTTATCTACAGGAACATTGTTAGGTTTTAGAATTGAACATCATCAAATATGACCTTTTTAAACATTGATTAGAAAAAGTGAGAGATTATATACTTACAATTTCATCTGTGAAATAGTATTAAATCCTCAGCATCTTATTATATTACCGAGTACTTACCTGGGCAGAAGCAATTACTAAAGTTCTTAAATAAGACCACACTTGGTATTCTGTGGGGTTTTGAAGTCAGTGGTAAGTGAATTATTGGATGATTGCTTTATCACTGAAAGAACTGAAGTTATTTCTTGTCTTAATTTTAATCAAACATTTCTGTTTGAATTAGATTAAAGAGGATATTCCCGAAACAAGGTTGAAATTTACATCTTTAGAGAATCCTGAGAATTACAGCCAGTTGTTAAATATCTGCTGTTCATTTCAAGTGAGCTCCCAAGTTCCTTACAAACTACAAAAAGGAGAAGCGCTTATCACCTTTGAAGAAGAAGAAGGTATGACTGATGTTCAACAATATGACCAAGTTACCTTAGGAAAGCACTTGGACTTTCAAAAAGCTTTCATAGATATTTGGCTTCGCTTTGTAATTTTTCCACATATTATTTCATCTAATCTTTATATTGAAACACTGAGGCAGGTATGATAATCCCCATTTCATAGATGATAAAACTGACTCTAAGACATGAGGTAACTTGACTGTGATCACTCATTCAGAACGCAATAGCCCTGAGACTCCAATCCAGGTATTGCGCTGTCCAATACCTGCATCTTTCTAGTCTACCTGCTACCTCTAATAATAATACTAGTAATACTGTTTGAAGAACATAGAGCTGTACACAGTTCTCACGGAGTTTTCACAAACATCATCTCATTTTATACTCACGTGATTCTATGAAAGCAATAAGATAGGAAAGTTACTATTTATATTTTATAGCCAAGAAAACAGATTCTCAGGTGTTTAAGTGATTTACCTATGGGCACACAACCAGTCAATGGAAAGAGCCCCAGAATCTGAGATTTGGGATGGAACCTGATGTTTGCTAAGTCTGCCATGGTATTGGACTTTGTTCAGAGCTGGTGGCGCTTTAGTGAGGAGAATCTGGCTTTGGGTGCCAGCTTTGCTCCTTTCTAGAAGTATGATTTAGGTTGGGTACTTTATAAATCTCAGATTTTTATGACAGGCTTTGTGGTTGTACCTACCTCATGGGTATTACATTTAATTTGCATATTAAATGAGAAATGTTGATAAAATACTTAGCACATTGTCTGACACATAATAAACACTAGATGTTAGCTGTCATTATTGCTACATGTTAGGAATTTTCCAGATAAGGAAACAGAAGCTTAAAGAAGATAAAGAACTTGCTCAAGGTCTATGCAGTTAACAAATTGTAGAGCTGAGAGCCAAATCCTGAGTACCCATGTACTTTCTACTCGACCAACATTCCTCTAAGCAGGCCACCGTATGTCAAGTTATGGGGCGGGACCAGATGGTCTTCAGAAGGCCTTCCAGTGCTCAGATGCTGAGACTCTGTTATTATAGCTCTTGTCTCCTGATGTCTGGTCCATCACTATAGCCTGAAAAGAAGTGTCCAAAAAGAAAGGGATTCAAGGGGGTGAAGAGGCACACACTTCCAGATATAAATCAGTCCTGGGGATGTCATGTATAGCAGGTGACTCTAGTCAGAAACATTGTGTTGCATTTGAAAAATTGTATTTGAAAGTTGCCAAGACAGTAAACCTTAAAAGTTTTCATCTCAGACACATGTTTTTGTAACGTCATATGGTGGCAGATGGTAACTAGACTTACGGTGATTACAGTATATTCAGGTATCGAATTATAATGTTGAACACCGGAAACTACTATAATGTGTATGTCAATTTTACCTCAATAATAATTTTTAAAAAGCCTTCTAGCAGGTCAGTATATACACATACTGTTTGTTCACCCTGGGTCCACCCCTGTGGCTGAGGGTGGAGGAGGATACCAAGAGCCATGTTGGTAGTTGGCAGTGGATACTGGGATATACCTGAAAGACCGAAGTGAGGATTTGGGAAACAGGGAGCCTGCACAGGGATTACCTGGGAATGCTGGGAATAGGATCCTTTTGAGAAACAGCTGCTTTCACCTAGGCATGGCTCTGAGGTCCTGCTCTCCTGGGACAACTTTGTGTTTATACAATTAAATGATCTGGCTTTTGGCAACATCACAGAAGTTGAAATACAAGTGGTTCCTCTCAGCTGCATCAGGTCACCAGATGTTGGAGGCTGGGGTGTGGGGAGTGGGAGGGAAAGGATATCATCTAAATATTACTTCACTGACATTTTCTGTCGTCATTAACAAACAAAGAGTCATAATTCAAGTTGTAGAGCCATGCCGTAGTACAGTGAGTGGGAATTCCCACCTGACAATGCCCCGCCTTCTGGCTCTGCTGCTTCCTCCAGCTGTGGTGTGCTGGCTGACGGTCACAAACACGTATACAGTGTATCAGACCAGGAGTGGGAATCTCTTATCTTTGTGACAAACAGCTCCAAATAGTAACAACTGAAATGTTATAAACACTCATGTCACACAATTAAAAATAAACTCACCCACTCAAATTTTAAACTCACATACAGTTGCTGTTTGTAGTTCTAATGATTTTTTGCATAATTATATTACTGAGCCTCTCCCATTTGCATGGTAAATTAGATGTGATTGTTTTGTGATCAGTATAGCAAGGCTTTCAACTGTTTAATGAATGATATCAAAAGCATTTTAGTGAATGTAGAGTTCCTCATTAAATATGGCACATAAAAAAAAAGACACTTAGATAGTCAAGCCTACAAATATGTGGTCTTTATGTAATTCTTGGGAAAGACAGAGACAAAAGTAATTGTTTGTTTCTATGGTGCTTGTAATATATTAAGGAGTGACGAATGATAAGCAAGATTATCAGAATGACAATGCCCCACAAGTTTTTCCAGCTTACTCAACATGGAAGAAGTTTCTGGCTGTGCTTTAATGGTCTAAGGAAGTTCTCTGGTAATTCTGTCATCAGTGCAAAGGAGGGATGTTTGGCTGAAATAATACATGAATTTCTGAGGAATTCTCAGGCTTATCTCTTAAGAGATGATTCTAGAACTTGATGAGAATTTCTACATTGTGATTTTTGCTGATGTATTTTGACATGAATCTACCCTCCTTTGATGGCAAAACCATTATCCTTGGGAAATCCTAAGAATAGTTTAAAAATCAGACCCTTTAAACCTAAAGCAAACTGAAGATGTTCAGGATAATTTGTTCTTAAACCGAAAAGGTGAAAACGTACTGAAGTATTGGAAATTAACACTTCCCACATTATTTTTTAGTTGCGCAAAATGTGATCAGAAAAGGGATTCATCATGTGCAGATACAGGACGTATTTGTGGAGGTCACAGCCAAGCCGGTTCCGTTGAAGCCAGGAGTTAGATTCCAGGTAATGTGACAGTTAAAGCTTTTCAGAATTCTGTTAAAAATGGACTCTTTTTTCATCCATATTTCTGAATGTGACACAATTTCCCAGGTTCACGTAGAAGTGTCTAAAATAAAGGTCAATGTTACTGAAATTCCTGATGAACTCCCTGAAAATCAGATGAGAGACAAGCTAGAACTGAGCTTTTCTAAGTCCCGAAACGGAGGTGGAGAAGTGGAATGCGTGGAGTATGATAAGCAAGCCGGAACTGCTGTCATCACCTTTGTGGAAACTGGAGGTATTCACCCATTTAGAACGTTAAAAAATACCCTGACATTTAAATTATGTTGTGCTGTTTTTGAAAGGATTCCTTTTCTCCTTCTTTTATCTGGAATTTATTAGGCAACATGATAATAGGGGATTATTTTTTTTTAAAACCATATAAAATGGTAGCGTCCTGAAAGCGATTTTCATGAATGCTACTGAGAATGATAATATTACAAGTATTGAGCATGTAAATCTTAGTGCATCCTCATCAAGTGCCAGGTATGGAGCCAGGTGTCCTATACATTTCTCTCCTCTGATGTGCAGCACAGCACTGGAGGTAGGGGTTATACTCATGTTATTGATGAGGATACTGAGGCCTAGGGAGGGTGAGTAACTTACCCAAGATCACACAGTGGGTGTGTGGAGAGAAACGCAAATATGTTTATAATATTGTTTCTCCCATGTCACCTATTAGGACTGACAAGGGTCTCTTAGGTGGAAGGAATTGATTCCAGGAAAGACAAGGGGTGAACGGAAAGGACAGCTAGACACGTGTTTCCTTTATAGGTACAACTGGACTTTTACCAAATCATCTGAGGGAGGTTTACTTTTCTTATGATTAAAAATAGAAGGTTCTACAGCTGCTTCTGTTAATATGTTCAAGTGATGCGCAATATAAAAACCTCTTGCTCTAGCGCTTCGGGCTTCTCCTGGGCTTGCACATATAAATCTAACTGTACAGTTAAAAAACATTGATTAGCTTTTTCAATGACAAAGTAATCCTTGCTTTTTAAAGAAAATTGAAATAATATAGAGGAGCATTAATTTAGTAAAAATTGAGAGATTTCCTTAATCTTCCCTTTCTCCTACTATATAGTTAGTTATTGTTAGATCCACCTGGAATTGCTGGATCAGATGGTAATCCTGAGCTTATTGATTTGAGGAACTGCCTCACTGGTTTCCACTGTGGCTGCACCATTTTACATTCCTCCCAGCAGTGTACCAGGTTTTAATTTCTCCATATCCTTGCCAGCAAGGACCTGTACTCTTTATGTTTTTTGAAAGATTTTATTGGGGAATTGGGGGATAGGAACAGTGCTGGGGAATTGGGGGAAGGAGAACAGACAAGTTGCTGTCCTTTTGTTCTTCAGTTTAGTTGTGGAGGACGTTGCTTCACTGGCCCAAGTTGGCACCATCATTGTGCTCTTCCCAGGCGAGGCAGATCAGTGGCCGGCTTCTGGACAGCAGCTCACTGTGACTACTGGCTGCTCATGCTGGTTGCTGGCTACACACAGTAGCCCATGGCAACCCACTGAAGCAGGGGCTGCAGCCTATGCTGTCGCTGACAACTCATGGCAGCCCAGCTCCAGGTTGAGCTGTTGTTCAGCATCTTAGCTGTGGAGGGCAGTGTCACTGGCCCTCATATGTGGGATCCGAACCAGGGCCCTCTGGCGTCCCAAGCCAGCTCTTAACCAGCGCGCCACTCGGCCGGCCCAAGGACCTGTACTCTTAACCACCATACCATACTGTGGATACAAGGTGGAATGGGGAGTGGAGAAAAAACCAAAGTGATGGGCTATTCTTAAGAACTGTGGCTATTAAATTTTATGCTATCTTGATACATTCCCTTCGTCCCCCCCCCCAGGAGAAAAATGCTGCTAAAGATAAATCTGATAATTCTTTGTTTTGGAGAAAATAGATGAATTTTTATTATTTGCCTTCAATTTTTCTAGATGATATCCAACACTCCCCCCACCCCTTTGATTAGATAACAGCATTATATCAGTTTACAGAATATCATGTGTTCATTACAGGGTAACTAACACTCACACATATGTAAACACATACACTATAGTAATATAGTAATTTACTATATATTTGTGTATTCATATAGTAATATGTATAATACACACACACACACACACACACACACACACACACCATTCTAATCATAGTTTTCCTTTATACTTCTTGAGAAAATGGGAAATAATCTTGTTTGGATGGGTGGGTTACTTTTTGCCAATGGTTATTGCATTTTATGTAGCTCAAGGTAGGTGTATCTGAGGACATTGCAGCCCTCTGTGCTTTGATTGACTACAGTGGATAGTTCAAGAGAGAAGGCTCTATTTAAACCTTATTGTTAGCCTTATATTTTTTAAAATTATGTACTGTGAAGTCTTTAAGTGAATTGCAGAATTTCTTAAAAATCACTCAGTTTACTGTTTATTATGATATTGTTCTGCTTGAAGGAAGTTTTAACCTTGGTTAAAAATGTTTATGATATAAATACAATATATTTTTTTAATTTACTTCTAGTTGCTGACAAGATTTTAAAAAAGAAAGACTATCCTCTTTATATAAATCAAAACTGCCATAGAGTTGTTGTTTCTCCATACATTGACACACACGTGAAAAAGTTTCAGGTAAAGTCATCTCTTTCATTTTGGGAATTTGCTACTTGACCCCATCCCACAAAAAAATAAAGAAAAAAGTTGTGAGTCTGTTACTGTTTGAATCTTAGTAGTGAGGGATATCAAAATAATTTCTTTATATCTGCTTGGTGCAGAATGAGTTGGTCTTTTAAAATAGTATTTTAATGCAGAACTGTACTATATTTAATTTATCATATACTTTTTAAAACTAAAACTACTTAGATATGGCACAATCTTTATTTTTGTACATAGCTACATTTCTCTCGTGCATCTGCTATCATAGGACATGAAAAATATTTTTTTTGCTCATTTTCTCTGAACTCATTATCTTTACCCCAAACCTGCTTCCTTTTCTGCTCCTACTCAGGTATTAAGTGTTACCACTATCTACCTAGCACACCAACCTGAAAGCTAGAACTCTTGCTTAACTCTTCATTTTGCTTCACCTTGAGCATTCATCTGGTCACTCAAGCTTGTCACTTTTCACCTCTGACTACCTCTCTAACTGGTCTATCTGTAGAGTTGCCTTCCTTTCCTCTTTTGCCATAATGCCACCAGCGTTGTCTTTCTGAAACTCAGATCTCACTCTGATATTTTCTGGCTTGAAAAATCTTCCTGAGGCTCCTTGTCTCGCCAAAGAGAGATAACTCCAAAATAGTAAGCAGAGCTTATTATAAATGTAATGTTTTGCAATTCAAAGCTCTCAGATAATTTTCTATTTTTTTACTTTCCTTCTTAGGTATTTTCAGGAATATCTAAGAGGACGGTGCTTCTGACTGGACTGGAAGACCTTGAGAAAATGGATGAAGAAATTGTAGAGGATTTAGTTGGCATTTACTTTCAACGGGAGAAGAATGGAGGTGGAGAAGTAGATGTGGTCAAATGTTCTCTCAGTCAACCTTGCACAGCATACTTTCAAGAATAGGCTCATGGAATCACATGAAAATGAGAGCTTCTGAGCCCAAATCACTATCAGTGTTTGACAAAAGTGAATACTTTTTTTCCTTAAAAAATGAAAACTTTAATTCTTTAGTGTCCATATAGTCTTAGAGACAAAATATATTTTCGTTGTTTTGAATTCTTCATTTCCAAGTGTGCTACATATTTACAAATGCAATAAGTACACTGTATTAAAAACAGTTTTGTTCATAAATTATGTGTATTGGTGCCATTTCTGTTGAAATCAAATGTAAGTGATACAGTTGTCCCCCTGCCATGTTGTCTTATTCTGTCATAGTCATGTGGGCCAATTCTGTTTTGGTCCCAGATCCACCAATATGCAGACTTGATGCAACATTTTTCCAAAGAAATGTTACTTTCAGCAGTTTGTGATTTCTGTAGAATTGACTGGATTTTCAAGGTACTTCAAGAACAACCATTTCTCACTTTCCATAGTATTTCACTCCACAGCTCCAAAGGTATTTCTCAGAGCCAAGTATAGTTGTTTTTTTCTTGAATTGTCCTTCACCCAGGATGCCAAATGTCCCCTATTCCTTCCAAGACATCCCTCTCTGAATAGAACTTGTAAAGACCAGAATTTTCTTTCTTTTATATTTGTAACAGAAAGAACCAGTTTAAGGGATTGAAAACCTTGGGGAAAAAAGAGAAGTACATGCAAAGCTACTGGCTCATCACTCATCATGCTAGATGCTAGGGGATGCCTGAAGGTATAATGAAAACACAGTACCTGCCCTTGAGGAGCTAAAAATTTAGTTGGAGATACCCGGTTTATTAGCATCCCACTGTTTTAACTTGCAGAGACTTTAAATGGTAAAATTCAAGGTTTCTATGTAGGGAAGGTAAAATTCTCTTTCGTAAGGAACATTTGGACGCTTCTATCCTAATATGGTATGTTTTATGAAGAGCCAACAGCAGAATTAAATTAGATTAAAATGCCGGCAGAAGTGAAATACTTTTAGAAAAGATTCTAAACCTAAACCTGTCTAATGTTTGCCATCTAAAATAAAGGAATGGAAAAGCTAAAAACAAATAAAAAACACTTCATTTTCCTTCTAATATTTTATTTTTAGGTTTTAAATTTGTTATGCTACCATCAGAAGTACTCATTACTCTCACGTTTCTCTTTGGAATGAGAGACTATGCCTAAAAACTGGGCATTTATAATAAATCTTCATAGTCATTGTTTTAGAAAAAAAATCTCTTATTCTGTCATTTGTTCTTTGGAAATAGTAAGATTATTTCAAGCTCCCCAAAATATAAGAAGATAAATGTAAAGAACCTTATTTAATATTGACTGGTTCAATCTCACTGGAACAGCGGGTGTCATTTATAGTCTGGGCAGACTGCCAATCAGAAAGAATTTTTTTCTTAATATTTAGGATAAGGTTTTTTGTTTTTTAAGATTTTATTGGGGAATAGGGGAGAGGGAACAGTGTTGGGGAATTGGGGAAGGAAAACAGCCAAGTTGTCCTTCAGTCTTAGTTGTGGTGGGCGCAGCTAGCTCAGCTCCAAGTCCAGTCGCCATCCGGTCACCCGTTGGCAGCTCGTGGCTGCTCAGCTCAAGGTGCGGAGTTCAATCTTAGTTGCGGGTGGGTGTAGCCCACCATCTCATGCAGGAGTCAAACCAGCAACCTTGTTAGGAACACGTACTCTCACCAGCTGAGCCATCCTGCCACCTCTTGGCAGCTCAGTGGCAGCTCAGCTCGGGCATGGCATCACTGGCCCATGTGGGAATCGAACCAGTGACCCTGTTGTTTAGAGCTCATGCTCTTAACCAACTGAGCCACCCAGCCGGCCCTAGGACAAGGTTTGAAACAATTAGTTTTGTGTCTTTTGGGAGCCTTCTTCAGGCAGTAAAATGTATAATTTCACTCAATTTTAAATTTTCACAATGGTTTTTGATAAACATTACTTATCTTAGAAAATTACACTTTTCCTCTTTGCACTACTCCACCCATGTGTGATCTGGCTGGATCTCAGAAACCAAGCATTGGCTTTTCTGCTTATTTTCATAGTTTTAGAGATTTTACAGGAGGAAAGTTGCCTTTGAAAATTTACCACATTGTATTAAACACATTGTATTTTAAGTTAGGAGGACTTAAATTGTGTGTCCAATATGAGATAGCTCTGCTTAATGTGTGAAAAGACATTGTCATTATATGTCAAGAAAGATAATAGATATGTGGAATTACAAGTCCTTCTTGTGTGTAGATTTATCAGTCAAAGCAGGCTACGTTACCTGTCATAACAAACTACCTCCCAAATCTCAGAGGCCTAACAAAATAAAACTTTAATTCTTATTCACATTGAATGTCCAATGTAGGTTGGGAGGAGACTATCCTCATTACTTAAGGCCCCATCTCGAGGCATTCTTCCAGCATCACAGAGGTGGGAAAAAGTAAAACCTGGAGATTCTTGCACCAGCAATAAAATGCTGTGACCCAGAAGTGACCAGTGTCATTTCTCTCACGTCTCATTGGCCAGAAATAGTCACATGGTCTCGTTGAACCATAAGGAGACTAGAAAATTCTGTCTTGTAAAAATGAGGAGAATCAGCTATAGTTGAGCCAGGATAATAAGCAACATAGTCTGTCTTGTCCTACTTTTCATCAATATTTGGATCACTCTTCTTCACATATAAAATACACTCACACCCCATCCCCAAGGGAGAAAAACAAAAAATTCCCCCAATCATGGCAGCAAACCCAAAGTGCATGAACTCTAGGTGATATATCAGGTCTGAATGTTATTCCCTTTTATCTAGAGTCCCCTGAAATACAGAGATGGAACTGGAACAACATAACTGCAATAAACTACGCACTTGGAAAGGGACAGTATGCGAGACACAGCAGTCACTGAGCCAAAGCCATCCTGAAATTCCATTGAGTAGATGTGTGTTCCATACCCCCTGGGATTTTGATTAGGCCATGATTCCACTCCCTGGAAATTCTTCTCTTGCTCGATGTCCTCATAGCTCCTAGACAGTCTTTTTTTTTGCTATTATTCTTGTTGGCCACATCTAGAATGGAAATTTGAAGTACATCTTTCTTGGAGGCTGAAAAGCTTCCTCACTCAGTACACTTCCTGTGATCAATGTGTGAGACCAAAGTTTTTAAAGTTTTCAAATATCACAGTCTCTTTATTCTGCCTGGTGGCTAGTTAGCTGGTACAATTCAAAAACTAAATAGGCTTCTTATCGATTTTATTTGATCAGCTTACATGTGGTAAGAGCAACACTCACAGTTTTTATCTGTACTTACTTTTTAGAGTTGCTATAATTCTCTGTTGCTTGGCCCCATTATTCTCTCTCTCTCTTCACTAAATTGTGGGTCTATCAGGCCACTTTTGGTTTCTTTTCCCTGAGCTGGTTTGTCCAGTTGAAAGGGTTTATTGAATTCCACAAGCTTAATTGGTATTTTTGCTTTGAGGGACCTTACTGTGTTCATAGATTTAAACCTTGATTTAATTATTGAATTGATCTAAGACGGAGTTCTAATCAGCCTTTTTTTTTTTTTTTAGCTGAGCCATCCTGCTACCTGTTGGCAGCTCAGCAGCAGCTCAGCAGCAGCTCAGCTCAGGCCTGGACTCGAACCGCTTTGCTCAGAGCTCACACTCTTGAGTGAGCTGAGCTCTTAACTAATCAGCCTTTCTTACTCAAAGTTCTTCTCAGTTTTATCATTTGAGAATGAGAAGTGTTACTTCCAACCCTACAAGTTCCCACATTTCTGGACTTTCTCTATTTCCTTTCATTACTGCTTTCAAACTGGCTCATTTCAATTCTAAGCTCTTCTCTTTCTTATATTAGTTTGTCAAATGCTCCCAATAACAATAAGCATATGCTACTAACTTTGTTGTTCACACTCTTTTTTAAAAAACCTACAAGCTAATTAGGCACATTATCTGCCTTCCAAGCTAAAATGTGTGAGTTTTACCAAATGTTTTCCCACCACATAATGCGGAGCACCATCCTTCTGATCTCTGACAACTATCTTCTAATTACCTGCCACATGGCCCCTAAACCAAAGCCATGTATTTTATATTATCTTCTGGATTGTCTTTTTTTTCTTTTCTTTTTGCAATAACAACACTCCCCTTCAGAATACCAATTCCTGTTATCAATTTGGAGAGACTATGTGATGCTGGTGTGACAAATTAGCTGTAAATTTCAGAGATCTAAAACAACAAAAGTTTACTCCTTGCTCATGCTACATGTCCATGATGAGTCAGCAAAAAGAATGCTCATGATAGACACTCAGGGACCCAGGCTCATGGCAGCCACCATCTTCATTGCTGGTTGCCAAAGAGCTGTGAAGGGTCTTGAACTGGCAATTAAATCCTTGGTCCAGAAATGTCCCTTTCATTCACAATTGAATCAGAGCTAAGGTTATGGTCCTACTTAACCATAAAGGAGCTTGGATGTTCAATTTTACCATATGCTCAGAAGGCAGAAAGCCAAAACCGGATAGTGGATAGCATTAATGATATCTGGTTGATATTCAAAAGGAAAAGATGCTCATTCCTAAAAAATACACAAAGTATTGGGCTGTCGGAAAAGTTATGATGTATTTTTCTCTGTTTTTCATTGCAAAAATGCGTCATGACTTTTCCGACAACCCAATATAATGAAGATAAAAATCACCAAAACTCCACCCACATCAAATACATGGTGATGGAAGGAGAACTGACTCTGGGTGGTAAACACACAATGTGATATATAGATGATGTATGTCATCTATATACAGAATTGTACACCTGAACCCTATGTAACTTGACTAACCATCGTCACCCCCAATAAACTTTAATTAAAAACAAACAAACCCGCCCACAGAGATAATGGTAAATATGTCCTCCTTTCCAATCATTTTTTTTTAACCATATCACATTGCATCTTGTGAATATACCCTATGTTATTATTTTCCTATTGTTGTACATTAAGGTTATTTCCAATTGTTTTCACACTTACAAGAGCTGTGATGTACATAGGCTCTTGTATATCTTGATATAAAAATCTTTTTCTGCAGTTTCTCTGACCTTATTTCAACTAGGTTGACGAGCTAAGGGATATCAATTCTGTTAAGGGTCGTGATACCTGTGGCTGCAATTGCGTCCCAGGAAGATAGGCATCGGTCTGCACTTTTATTAATAGTGCAATAAAGGGCGATTTCATTGTTCCCTTTCAGCAGTGAGTACTACTCCTTTAAAAATAATTTCCTTTTTATTCTATTTTTATAAATCTTCACATGGTGTATGCCATATCTTGTGAAAGCAAATAATTATCAAGATACAGGTGAAACATCCCATAATGGGCGTTATTTTTTGGTATTACAAATTTAAAACATTTGGGAAAATGTCAACCAATTTGATTTTACTTAAACTGTAAGACAGACAAGTACAGTGAGACCGGAGGCCTTATAATTGGGTCTATAAGAGATTAAAATATTTTGTTGGATGCAATTTCTGTAATAAGCCGCTGGAATTATTTTGACCATATTTGGAATCATGCTTCCTTAAGGACAGTTTGGCACTATAGGGGAGAAAAAAGTTTTCCTCAACTCTCTTGGAGTCCCTGGTTGGATCTGAAATTTAAACCGACAAAGACAGATTAGCAGGAGAAAAGCATACAAACTTATTTAAGATAAATTTTATGTGACAACAGGAGCCTTCGGAAGGAAATGAAGGCCCAAAGAAATGGTTAAACCTGAGTGTTTTTATGCTAGGGTCAATGAAGAACATAAAATCATAGAAAGGGGAAAAATGATAGGACAAAGACTTTGTATCAGCTACTCAGCTAGGGGGAAATTTAGCAAGGCCTATTCCTTCAGATTGCTCTCTATGTCCCTTGTTCTTTGGAGATAAGGAAGCTCCTTTCCGCTGGATAAAGGGAGGGCACCTCTCATAGGAGGGTTTTATGACTTGCTTTGGGGGAAGGTCAGAAAGTCCTTCTTGCACATTCCATTTCTCATATTCCTTCAGTTTGAAATATTCACTATACCAAGTTGTCATATTTTGGGGATAGCATGCCCTGAATCCTGTCAGCACATACAAGTTGGAAGAGTTGGCACATACAAGGTTAAGGGTTACTCTGTGTCAGGCTTGATGGCACAGATGATGGGTACACTTGCATTCCTGATTCTAATACTAGATCTGTATTTCCCTGAGAGGACCCTGCTTGGATTATGGTTCTGATGTTCATTTACAGTTAATCTTGATTCCCACCTCCGCCCCAAGTCACTGCTTTTCTCCTTTGTCTCTTCAAAATTTGTCTTTTCCGATTAAATGGAATTAAACAATATATGGCCTTCTGTGTCCAGTTTCTTTCACTTAACATGTTTTTGAGATTCATTCTTGTAGCATGGATTAGTATTTCATTCCTTTTTATTGCTGAGTAGTATTATATACATAGATATAAATGTAATTTATATCCATACATGTATATATAGGAAAAGTTCTCAGGTGAGATGCTTGTTGTGTGGTTGGAACAGAGGCTGTGAGGTCAGTGCCTAGGGGATCTGGCCAGAGAAAACAGATCAAGTCCATTTTGCTTTGCAGGTGAGGAATGTAACTTTTATTTAAAGTTCAATGGGAAAACAATGAAGTGTTTAATCATGGACCAAACCTGATTTGCATTTAAAAAATATCATCTTGGGTGTGGTACCCAGAATGAATTGAAGGGGAATAAGCCAGGATTCAGACTTGATAAGGGGAATGGAGGTGGAGTTGGAGAGAGTGTGCCAGTGGGTTTATGAGATGTATTAATAGAGCATAGGAAGAGAAATCAAGGAAGACAAGTGAATCATGAGCTCTACCCCTAGGGGGGTAGTGCAACAATTTAATGGTGGGGGGGGGAGGAGGGAAAAAGGGATGAAAGAGAGTTCTGTTTGGTCTGGTTAAATCTCACATGCCTATTAGGCATTCAAGGGAGTATTTAGGTATAGAAATCAGAAGTTAAAATATAAATTGGGGAATTACATATAGACCTCACTCTGTTTTACAATCTTCATAGCCTTAGGCCTTTTACATGTGCCATTAGCCATACGATAAATAGCTCTATTCACGGGTTAACTGGATGGTTCCTTTTTTTAAAAAAATTATCTGTATTACAAGCAACGCACAATTTAAATTTCTGTGCAATATCTTAGTTCCACCTATGCACTATGTCAGTGCAGTTCTGAAAGTGGAACTGCTAATCTAAGGATATGTGCATTTTTACACTTTCTTTTTGCATTTTACATTCTTTAAAGGGGCCCAAATCTTTAGACATGTTTGCACCTGTCTGCGCTTGCAGCAACATTGATGCTGCCTCACACCCTGACTAACACAAGGTACTAGCACACTTTAATTTTTTGCCAATCTAATTGTGGAAAAAAGGGATCTCATTATGTTTTCAATTTGTAGTTCTTTACTCAGGAGTGGACTTGAACTTCTTCATATTCGCTAGGCATTTGCTGTTCTTCATGCTCTTTTTGACTTTGATTTGGAAGCTGAGTATGTACAATAGATTCCCTAGGTCCCCCTAGGTGCCTGACTCAGGAGCCCTTGCCTGGCGTGGTCAAGATGGTGAGTTCTCTGTTGGCAGGGACCGTGCTCTTTCCATCCTGTGCCCCGCGCACCTGGCTGAGGCCCGCGACTGGCCCTGAGCTGGGCAGGTGACAAAGAGGCACAGGTGTGCTGTGGTAAGAAGATAGCTGCAAAGATAATGAGGGCGTAGGAGGAATGAGCCCGACTCCATCCAGCACAGGACAGCCGCAACCCCGGAAACCCCGAATTCCGGCCGGGGAACCCTGGCGGCCTCTCTCCCGCGTGGTTTTAAAAGTTTCGAAACTACTGAAAGCATCCGGGCCGGCGCTGGCAGGGGCCGGGCCGGGTTCGAGCTCCCTCCACGAGGCTACTAGGCCACGGAGCAGCCCAGTGGGGGGGGGGGGCCCGTCCGCCCGTCCGCCCTGCGCTCTCGTGGTCTCCCAGCGAGCGGGTACAAAAAACCGAAAGCAAAACCTGCTTTCGGGCCCCGCCCTGCCACCCGGCTCCGCTAGATTCGGGCCGTGCTAACTTCCGAAGGCGCGTCTCTCCTCCGCCATGGCAAGTTGCTTTCGCTTTGGATTTTGCAGGGCAGGGTCGTCCCCGTCCCGTCGCTAAGGTCCCCTAGAAGGATGTGGGGGCGGCGAGGGCACGGGGCTGACCCGGGCGGCGCGCGGAGGGGCCCGGGGCGGGCGGAGGGCCGTCAGCCCTGGAGGCAAACCCGCCAACAAATGTCGCCCTGCCTTTCTGCCCCTGCGCCACCTGCCCCTGTGGCAACTCTGCGCGCGCCCGAAAGTCCCAGCGGGCTGGGCCAGAGGCGCAGCTCCAAAGGGACGGATCGCCGCGGCCCCTCCCGCACCCAGTGTCCGGTCGTCAGGGACGCAGCCGTTTCCCGGCGAGGAGACGCCTCGCAGGCTGTGTTAGGGCTTAGCTATTGTCCCCTCGCGCCTTGGTGGACAAGCGAGGAGGGGGTTACCCAAAAATGGAGGCCAGACTTCCTTTTGGAAAGGGCCAGCCAGAAGGATTCGCGCCAAGGAAGCAAGTTGGAAAGACATCCTGATGTCTTGTCTGCATTAGTGGGAATTCATCTCTGTTGTGACCTTAATTCTTTCTGTAGACACAAAGGGCTCTGTGTTTCCACTCTCTCTGCTGGCTAGCAAGAACAGTTAGCAAATTCAAGATTTAACCTTGCGTGCTCTTTTCCATCAAGCGCTTGAAAGCAGTGGCTTGGCCTTTAATTCCTGGTCAGAAATGCTAGGGTCCCGGAAATGCCAAAGCAGTTGTGAGGTGCAAGTGTGATTTTGTTTACTGGGTGACAGTAAAGGCAACGTCAGTGAAACTAAAACAACCGATTTTAAGAAAAGAAATATAAACGAATGCAGTTAATGAATCTAATTATCTCTACCTAGTCCCTTAGTTACAAAAATAAACTCAGGTTTTGTTTATGTCTTTTTGTTTCTGATACGATGGTCAGAAGTCTTTTAAAATATATCATTGGTACAGGGAAAATGCCATCACCTTAATATCCCTTGGCTAAAATGCTGTTGTTTCAAAATCCTGCATCTCTGTGTGGTAATTCTTAAAAGGGTTATCTCCATGACATCTTTTTCTTAATTGTGGATAGAGAGATTAATAGCAGTCAGAGAGAAGTTCTTTTGATTTCAAAGATAAACGTAGGCACTTGAATAAAGAAATTAGGGCATTAGTATTGATGGGGGAGAGGTGGAGTGAGATTTTCTGAATTTAAGTTGATTGAAAATTTGACATTGATAAAGAGCAAAAAGAAAACTAATTCACCAGCCATTGAGGTTGGCGTGGACTCTTAGAGCCAGAGGTGTAGTAATCAAGACAAAGCTGTGAAGTAAAATTTCCTGAAAATCTGACAAATCTTTTTTGTTGTTTTTTCCCTCTGCTAGGAAGACTTCTTTTGGGATAATTACATCTTACCACTTGCAGCTAGGATGGAAGAACACTTTTATATATTTTTACTGTTTTCTATGTAATCTAGTTGTGCTTGAATATTTTAAGAAACAGATTTCCTGCAAGAAAAGTACCTTCCACAACAATTAGTGAATAGGTTATTATGAATTTCCTTTTCAGGAGACACTCCCCTTGCTTTGTGTCGCAACATGAGCCATTTTCATCTCCCACTGCTGTTTCTTTGCTTTTGCTGTGAACACTTCTTTTGCGTTTTTAATTAAACTTGACCATTATTTAAAATTTGACCTCAGCCTCCAAGGCCTCACTTTCATTAAGCCTTCTTTGACTGCTTTAGCCAGAATTCATCTTGCTCCTTAATCTTGCATGTGTTTATTGTGTATTTTGGTGTTTTATTGTGAATGGTCTTGTAGCCTTCTCAGATTGTTAGGTGTTGGTCTGTTTCTTCTTGTAGAGAAATAGATCTCTTTTTGTGCCTACCAAGCTGTTTTGAAATGGTTTACGTAAGTGTCTGCCTCTCTCTCATCCATAAGGTAGAGGTCATTATTATTTTTTTTTATGTTGTCAATCCTAAGGCCTATCTAAGAGTCCCAAACATAGTAAGTGCTCAGTAAATTTTTGTGGTGGAACTGAATTTCAGGGCAAGGAGTATGATTATTTCTTTACATGTGTCATCTATGGTACCCAGCATATTGCCAAGCATAGAACACATGCTTAATTAATACTGTATTTGTTAATTGATTAACTAATTGGCAAGATACTATATAGTCTAAGAAATTCAGCTGCACACAGGCATATTTTTGCCACCTTATTTTAACAGTTCCCAGCTGAAATGCCAAAGATACGCTGAAAGTGCATTTACTGGGGGCAGCCATCATTGACTTCAGTCATTTTCTATTGAATTCCTACTATGATAAATGAGAATTTCACTCAAGTAACCTCTGACTTTTCCCACCTTCCAAGTTTGAAAGTTTTAATATTATTTTAAATTCTATGGATTATTTTTGTAACTTCTATAATATATTTAAAATTTTGTAGTATTACATGATTCTTTGTAATGTTAAAGTAGGTTATTCTTCCTTCTGTCTTTTTTTTTTTAACTTTGGTTAGTTCTTCCTTTATTCATACATTGACAGGGTTGAATATTTCCAGTTTATTCTGGAATCATATTTAAGTCTTTGGTATTTTGAAGACTTTACAAAATTAGTCTAAAAGTTAATAAAAAATAAGAGTGTTCATATTATTATGCAAACAGTTGATACTGTTTATTTCAGGGTATAATAGCTTCCTGTGATTACTTTTTCTCCTTTTGGTCCAATGTCATGTGTATTTTTATTTTTCCACTTACAGGAAAATGTTCCCGGTAGTTATGTCAAATGGATTCTCTCTCTCTTTCTGGTATTCCATAATTTACTCCAAATCATGGCACACGTTAGTTTGCTTATGCTCTTTAGGCTGGGGCCCCTTCAAATGCCAGAAAACAGGGGGGACTTGCTGCGGGGTGCCAGGACCCATTCTAGCAAGTCAGATTCCCCTAAGGTTGTCGCCCACCCGCCTTCATTGTGTGTGTGTGTGCGTGTGTGTGTGTGTGTGTGTGATGTGGATATACATGAGGTCAGGAATGTGGGGAGAGAACTGAAACAGTTGTTTTGCCTCTAGCCTTTCAATTAACTTTTCTGTTTTTGGCGCCTTTTTTCATTTCTGAGGTTCTGCCATAAAGGTTGTCACCTTTCCACTGCAATCCCTTTTCCTTATTCTGGGTTAGTTCCTCCCCTCTGCCTTCTTCTTCCACATACTTCTATGTATTTTCAGTCTTTCAGAAATAAGTTGAAATCTCTCCTATGCTGATTGCGTTCCTTACCTGGGTTTATTCTCTTACTTTCATTTTAAGGTGCTCTTGGGATGGACAGGATGCTATGTGTGTGCTTACACTGTCTTCTTGGCCTGGGAGGTCAGAAGTAGTTTTCCTATTCCCAGTGAAGTCCTCCTCTGAGTATAAAATACTCTCAACTGAGAGCCCAAAACATCTTTGTGACTTGTTAATCATTACTCCGGCCCATAAGACATTTATCCTTCCTTGGGATAATTTAGGATAAATTATGTCTGAGCTCTGTACCATCATGCTGGACTACCTACATAAGCATTGGGAGAAGCATATGGGTCTACTTCTCTAAATGGGCTGGGGAAGAAATTAAAACATTTAAATAGAAGCCCCTTAACTGAGTAATACAAGAAGTTGAAAGAGAGTGAGCCCAGGAGAAGATCTGTTTGCAGCTGGTACTTTGTGCCCTGCATGATGGCAGGGTCTGCAATACATGTACTCGCTGTGGTTAAATTCCATCTTAGATATGTGCTAGAAAGCGGGATTTACTCCACTGCAGCCCCAATATCATTGCCAGGGTTTTATTTATTTTTATGTTCACTTTTTCCTGATTTTGACTAAAAATGTTGGGGATGTGTTTTTTATTGGCTTATGTACTTTGGATTCTACAATTAAACCATACAGGGGCTGGCCGAGTGGCTCAGTTGGTTAAGAGCTCGCTCAAGAGTTTGAGCTCTGAGCAACAGTGGTTCGATTCCCAGCCTGAGCTGAGCAGCCGCTGACTTGCCAACAGGTGGCAGGATGGCTCAGCTTAAAAAAAAAGAAAACATACAGCCATCTCCAAACTATGATATTTTGTGGTTAGCTTGACTTTGTAAACATTTTAATTTTTAAAATTTATATCTCTTGATCTTTTCCTGTATGATTTCCAATATTTTTAGGCCTTTCTAAAACAAGACAAATGTTAACCAATGTTTTCCATATATTGAAAAAGAAAAGGTTCACTTTTTACATTAAATCCTGAATTTCATGTAGAGTTTATATTGCTGTATGGTGTGAGGCAAGGATCTATCCTTAATGTATATATTTCTAAAGTATCTAATCAGCTGCACTAGTACCTTTATTGAATAAAATAGCCTCTCCCACTGGTGTGTTATGTTGCATTTGTTAAGTAGAAACGTACATATTTAAAGAGCATCCTGCTATTTCTCTTACAGGCATCAGTTTTGAATGTCAAGGAATCCAAAGCATCTGAAAGAACGGTTGTAGTTGCTGGTCTTCCGGCTCGCCCTTGGAGTGATCTGTCCACAATAGTGAAGATTCACTTCCAAGATATTAAGAATGAGGGTGGATCTATTGAAGATGTGATATATCCAACAAGAACCAAGGGAGTTGCATATGTAATATTCAAAGAACAAAAAGGTATTTTCAAATAAAAAATTTTTTTTAAGATTTTATTGGGGAGTTGGGGGAGGGGAAAAGTGTTGGGGAATTGGGGAAGGTGAACAGCCAAGTTGTTGTCCTTCAGTCTTAGTTGTGGAGGGCGCAGCAAGTTCAGCTCCAAGTCCAGTTGTGCCGCTCAGCTCAAGGTGCTGTGTTTAATTAGTTGCAGGTGGGCATAGCCACCATTCCATGCAGGAGTCAAACCCTTGTTGTTAAGAGCATGTGCTCTATTCCCTGAGCCATCGGGGCAGCAGCTCAGCTCAACGTGACGAGTTCAGTCTTAGTTGTGGGTGGGTGTAGCCTACCATCTTGAACAGGCAACCTTGTTATTAGGAGCACGTGCTCTCACCAGCTGAGCCATCCTGCCACCTGTTGGCAGCTCAGTGGCAGCTCAGTGGCAGCTCAGCTCGGGCGCAGCTCACTGGCCCATTGGGAATCGAACCAGCAACCATGTTGCTCAGAGCTTGCACTCTTGAGCAACCTCTTAACCAACTGAGTCACTCGGCCGGCCCTCAAATCAAATTTTTGTAATCTTAGAAATACTTCTGTAAGGAAATTAAAAATTGAATTTTATTAAAATGATTCATGGGATTAGTAAAGTTTAAAGTAGCTTTTAAAAAATATTCTATTGTGAATATAAAAGTGGCACAATATTGCACTAGAAAGAATATATGTGAAAATGGCTCATGATAAAGTTGCTAGTAACTGGCAAATTCTTGAAGACTTCTTTTTATATTTTGAATAGTCTGTATGTTGAGATAAAAGTGATACAGTTTATTGTAGAAAACTTGTATAATACAGAAAAAGATAAAACCCAAAAAATGATCTCTAATCTCACAAACAAGATAACTACTTTGGGAATTTTGAGGTGGCTTCAGCAATGTAACTAACTATACAGATTGCTTCTGTTTATTCAAACCAACAAATGGATAGTTTGATGTAATATCTGCCCTATTACTGGTAAAGTTGGGTTGGAGAGATACAGCTTGGATTTGAGATCAGGGTGAGTCATTGTTTTCCACCTCCATCCCTGACATAGGTGAGGAAGTTGGGTCTGCTAGAGCGTATTCACCCCTCCTGCCTCGTGGAGGGGCAGCCTTCCTTACTGCTAAGCTGGCTGGCAGCATAAATTGCCAAAGAAAGATGAGTGTCCATAGTCTCTTGGAGGTAAAAGTATCACATAGAAGAAGGAGGAGAAGAAGAGAACTTGCTGTGCTTGAGGGAAGACAGGATCTAGAGAGAGCTCTGAGAGACCAAGGATTATCAGGGCCTTTATCTGTCACCATGAGTTAAGGCATTTCTTCTCAATGGAGATGTTCAAGTAAGGGATGGCAGGAAGGGTTTCTTATTTCTCTAGGGGACTGTAGTATTTGGGGAAGTTATATATTGAATTGGTAACTCAGAGAGAGAAAAAGAGGGGTCATTTATTAATTCACAAATATTTATTGAGTGCCTTTTACTTGGCAGGCAGCGTTCTAGGCCTTGAGGATACAGCAATGAATAAAATAGGCAAAATATTTCCTTTCATGAAGCATACATCTGTGGGGGCAGACGGATAATAACAAGCAAATAAATGACTGTTTAATATGTTGGGTGCTTCATTTATTTGTATATTTATATTTATATACTTACATTTATGTTATTTTTATGAGCAACAATGCACTCTTTAATTAAATTTATTGGGGCAACATTGGTTAATATTACATAAATTTTAGGTGTACAACATTATAATACAACAGCTGTATACTCTATTTTGTGCTCACCACCCGAAGTAAAGCCTCCTTCCGTCACCTTGTGTGTGACCCCTGTACCGTCTTTGTCCTCCCCCGACCCTGTTCTCTAGTAACCACTATTCTGTATCTATGAGTTTGTTTGTTCTTTGTTTGGTTGGTTTCTTCATTTGTTGCTTTTTGTTTTACATCCCACATATGAGTGAAATTATATGGTTCTTGTCCTTTTCCATCTGACTTATTTCACTTAGCTTAATTCTCTTAAGATCCATCCATGTTGCTTAACTTCACTAGCTATAAGGGAAATACAAATCAAAACTACAATGAGATACCACCTTACACCTGTTAGAGTGGCTATTATCAATAGTACAAGAAATAAGAAGCGTTAGAGAGGATGTGGAGAAAAGGGAACCCTTATACATGCCTGAGGGGAATGTAAATTGGTGCAGCTGCTATGGAAAACAGTATGGAGAGGTATCTCAAAAAATTAAGAATAGAACTTCCACCTGACTCAGCAAACCCTCTTCTGGATATTTACCCGAAAAATTGGAAAACACTTACTCGTAAAGATATATGTACCCCCATGTTCGTTGCAGCATTATTCACGGTTGCCGAGACACGGAAACAACTAAAGTGTCCTTTGATAGATGACTGGATAAAGAAAATGTGGTACATATATACAATGGAATATTACTCTGCCATAAAAAGAAATATTGCCATTTGTTTATATTTATTTATATATATTAATATATGAGTGCTATGAAAAAATATTAAAAAGAGTAAAGGGATATAATGTGATGGAGGGTGCTTCTTTAGATAGAGTGGGTAGGGAACTACTCTTTAGGTATCATTTGAGCAGAGACCTGAATGAAGTAAGAGAATGACTCATGTAGATCAGGGGGTAGCACATTTTTGGCCAAGAGAAGGACTGGGAAAGATTCTCGGAGGGGTAGCGTGCTGTCTGTCTTGAAGAGCAAGGAGGCCTACATGGCTAGAATGGAATGAGTGAGGGAGAGAGTAAGGGAAGATGTGGTTAGACAGGTAGCTGGGGGCCGGATTATGTTAAGTAGCTTACAGGTCAAGGCGAGGTATCTGGATTTTTTTTCTGGGTGAGAGGGAAAGCCGTTGGAGCATTTTGAGCAGAGGACTGACAACATGTGACTGCCTTTTCTTGGATGGCCAATCTGTCAGCCGTGTGGAGAACAGGAGCTGCTAGTCATCACTGGTTTTGACTAGGGTGGTAGCAGGGCAGGTAACTAAGAACCGATGGGTTTTCAGGATTTGCTGAAGAATTAAGTGTCATTTCCTGAGATGTGGAACACAGGAGGAAGAGAATTTTGGGGTGAGGGATAGTTATCAGGAACTGAATTTCAGTCATTGAAATGCCTATTAGGATAATACAGTAGAGATTTCCACGGGCAGAAGGGAGAAAGGTCGAGACTGAGGATAGAATCTTGGAAGTGATACGTGCAGAGATGGCATCTAAAGCTGTGGATCACCCGAGGAGTGGGTGTAGGTTAGCAAACAGGTATGAGGCCTCAGGCGTGGGGCATGTCATCTGGAGAACGGGAAGAGAAAAGTTAGCAAAGGAGAAGGAGTAGGTCAGCCAGTGAACTAGTGGAAAACCAGGACAATGTGCTATCCTGGATTCAAGAAGGTAAAGTCTCCTTATAGTGATAATTAACAAAACGGGGGATTGACTTTTAGGTGTTTGTTTTGCACACACACACACACCACCTATGTGTGTTTTTAAAAGTATGATCATATTGACACATTAAATTAATTTTAATGTAGTAAAGAAGGGGAAAACTTTTTAAAAGTTGAATTTAGAGGAAAATGTAGAAAAACATTTTAGGCGTTTTAAATAATAGAGTTGAACATCTATTCATTAAAATAATTATTAATGTATTAGGCCACAAATACTTCTGATGGCAGTGTTTCCACTTAGTTGCAGAGAATGTCATCAGGAAAAAGAAACACTCTCTAGCAGAGAAGTTTGGACCCATGGAACTCACAGTCTCTTGTTTTTGTGAAAAGGTAAGGTGTGGTGCTGGTAGTCCCGGATCCCATTTCTTCGGCAAAGTGTTCCTTACTTAAGAGACACAAAGCACTCTTGCCCCATGACTTTTACGAAAGCAAATGCAAACTCTAACCTGAGTCAGTGTGAAAGGCCAAACCAGTGACATACCATGTTTTGGTTACTACCTGGTCTGTTTTTGTTTCTATACGTCCCACCTGATGCTTTTAAAGTGAGTGAGCTTTTTGGCTCTCATGGATGATGTCAGGTATCTACCTGAAGACGTATTTTGGGAAAAACAAAAACCTAATTAGGATGAACATTAAAAAGAAGCTTTGAAAAATTCAGGAAAGTTAGAAATAAGAAGAAAAAGTTAAAATTTAAAGCATTGGTTTAAAACTTTATTTGGTAAGAAACCCAGGGTTCTGTGCAGCCAACTGATGAACTTCAAACTTGGAGGACTCTCTAGAGGGCTCCTCATCCACAAAGAGCTAGAACAGTATGTATCTATGGGTGTTGCTTAAGACTTTGTTTCAAAAAAGCATTCTGCCTCTAAAAATCATGTGACCACCTCTGTTTTGGGGAATGCAGTGAGGGACTGTGAATCCCAAATTGAACATTGTGGCCCAGATGGGGTTGTGGGATCCCTTTGGTGGGCTGCTATGGCGCAAGACGCCAGTCTGTTAGGCAACTGGGGCCTGTTTTAAGGGCAGCTGCAGCGGAGACAAAGTGGTAGAAAAAGAATGTGTTTATGTAGTTCGCTAGGCAGTGCTCTTTTAATTTCTCTCTCTTTAATTTTAGGTCTTCAGCTCTGTAAAAGCTATTCTTGATCTCTCTGTTTTTCGGAGTCAAGTCGTTCTAGAAACTCTGGTAATGGACCTGCAAAGGAAAATTCCAGCTTTATGCTTCAGTCCTCTGGATCGCAATGGAAGAATCTCCGTTCAAGGATCATTTGTGGCTATCAAAAGGCTTAAAGAATATTTGCTATTAAAAGCAAGTTTTCCTTTAGAAAAAAACAGGCATTTTATCGGTGAGGGGAAAAAGGGGAATAGACAGAGCCCCAGAAGGAGTCTACAGAGAAGTCGTACCTCCCTGGAGTCACTCAGGTCCTCAGTACCTGAGACTATTAGAAGTGGAGAAATGCTTGTTCTTGACACAGATGTTTTTCTTTACCTGAAAAAGAAGATAGAGTTGTATGAAAGCACATTGAAAAAATTTCATGTTCTATGTCAGGAGAGAGTGGATGGTGAAATTACCACAATTTGCATAAAAAATGCTCAAGGTGGTTCTCTGCCAAACAGTGAAAAAATTGTAAAAGAGTTCATTGAGAAATATTCTCATAGTCTTCACTTCGAGCTTAGAAAAGAGACATTTGTTTTGGAAGGAAAGAACGATAGAGAGAAAATAAATATTAAGTTGGCATGTGAACAACTAAGATCGAAATACCTTCAGGTTCTGATTAATTTTTATAAGACACACATTGATATTATAGGATCTTCTTCTGACACTTACTCGTTTAAAAAAGAGGTCAAAAAATTAATAAGGCAAAAAGTTAGGTAGTAGAATCTCAGCAATAGTGATGATAATGGCTGCTGCTTTCCCTTACCAAGCAATGAGGATGCCATGCATAACGCTAGCTTTACACACTTTATCTCATTTAATCCTGGAGACCATCCTTCATCGTAGGCACTGCTATCCTCATGTTATAGGGGAAGAAAGTAGAATTTGGGGAAGTCAAAGCACTTGTTTGAGGTTATCCAGATAGCCAGGAATGTGGCTGAGGTTAAACCCAGTCTGACTACAAAGATAATCTCAGGTATAAAACTTTGACAAAAACCTCACTACACTTTGATGAAATCTCACTTTCTCTGCAATCCCAAATTCTTAGAAAAAGAAGTAGCCTTAATTCTAACATACGAGAAGTTCAGATAATGATGACTATGTCATTGGCAATTTCAAACATTTACAAAGTTTGTGTTTACTCCAAAAAGAATAAGAATGCTAGGCAAAAGTCACTTGAGAAGTTACTTAGATGGAAAGTATTTCTGATGCAGGTAAATCATTAGTTGAGCAAAACTTATTGGTACAAGGCTACTGGATATATAGGAAATTTTTATTGCTGGTTATTTACCTAAGTGATTATATAAAATCTTGATTTTCTTGTTATAATTATGAGGAAAGTGTTGTGTCTTTTTTTCTTTATTCCCCCTTTTGTACTTGTGTTGTTAAAGTAACAGCATTTGAGAGGTAAGATCATGGATGATAATAATTACAAATGCTATTTGCCAGGCATAATTTTTAGTGCTTTACATATCTTTATTCAGTTCTGACAGTAACCCTATGAGGTACATGTTGTCTTTATCCCATTTTCATAGGTGAGTAAACTGACTTGCACTGATGTAATATAACCCGTGCTCTTATTACTGTACTGTGCTTCTGCCTTTTATAGAACTAGTATCCAACAATTCTACTTGAACAATTGAGAAGTCTTTCCTTTAAGATGGCAGAAGGATTTGAAAATTCTTTAATGAAGCCCAAGCTTGTAAGTCATTTAGTTGTCTGTGACTCCCCTGAATTTAACTTTGGTGTTCTTTTTTTTTTTAAGCTGAGCCATCCTGCTACCTATTAGCAGCTTAGTGGCAGCTCAGCTCGGGCCAGGCATCAAACTGCTGTTGCTCAGAGCTCAAACTCTTGAGCGAGCTCTTAACCAACTGAGCCACTCGGCCGGCCCTTGAATTTAACTTTGGATTAAGCCAATTTTAAGTATCAGGTACTGCAGAGACCCTCCTAGGATAATAAAATGTATACATCTTGCATATACTTAAGTAAATAGACATGCTTATGATGATTAGAATTGTTTACATTAGTAGAAAAGTGTAAGAAAAATCTCACTATATGCTTTCATTTTTCTCAGCCATCTAAATCTCAAATATATACTAAATAAGTTCTGTTTATTTAAATATGACATTTCATTTCTGTCTGAGTAAACAGTTTTATCACAGGAAACTGCTATTTATATCAAGCACCCCATAAGGCATCTTTAAATTAAAAAGGGGTTTTACTTTTATTTTGCTTCAAGGAGTTTGTCTCAGTCTGGGCCCACTCAGGAGAAAGAAGGCCCACAGTAATTTGAACAGGGAAAGTGTAACATAAAGAATTGTTAACTATAACAGGATTGGAATAACGAGGGACAGGCTAGCAAGAAATAAAGAGACCTTGAAAACATACAGGAATAACAAGATATAAGGAGCAGTTTAGATAGAGCACCCAAGAAGAGCTCCCCAGCCCCCCACCTTCCCCAGGACTTGCTGGAGGGCTTGTGCCCGGGTATCTTGCTGGAAATCCATCCCCTACGGTGCTGGAGGAATCTGTTCACAGGAGTATCTCACCTGGCACACTCCATTTCAAAATTGCTGAGGGGGTTGCTGAGGGGAGTGGCTAGTGGCAGGGTGCTGCTGGCCAGTGTGCACTGCAGGCCCCGAGTGCTGGGGAGGACTTGTGTGCTAGGGGCTGGACACTAGAGAGGCTGCTCATGCTTCAGAAGCTGGGTACTTGGGGAGCTTCCTCTGCCGAGGAGCTGGATTCTGGGTACCCTGCAAATGGAACACACTGAAGCAGGAACACTTTTCTCCTGCAGTGACTCTCCAGCGCCCTCTACTGAGAAAGCTTAACGTCTTGCCAGCTCCAAAGCAAAAAATATTTAAAGGGCCCAGAACTATTACGGAGTAGGCACATAAGATGAATTTAAAGCTGAGTCAATAAATTGATAGCTGGCAGAGTTGTATTTGATACCTACCAAGGATTTTATTATTACCACAAATTTAATATCAATAAAATAGTCTTTCAACAAAGCTGGATCAGAAGAGTCATTCCATGATTTGCTAGAAATTGAATACTAATTGACTTAAAGGTACATGTATAGCATCTTCTACTTGAAAAGATTATGTATTTCAAGCGTTTTTACATTTTGCTGTCCATTTTAGAGTTTGTTTAACAGCACTCTTCTTATGCTAGTTGTGTAACCAATTTCTATCTTTAATAAAAACTGACTTTTTTTTCAAAGTGGTAGTAGTGATTTTTATTAAAATTTAGTTTTGAAGGTTACTGACGCCCAGGCAGATGATGTGAATACCATCTTGTGGTCACGCCTCACTCCTGTTGTATGTCTGCCATTGAGAGAAAAACCTATTATTTAATTAGATAATGAATTGGATACTTTTCAAAGAGGCTGCAAGTAGTGAAGAGGGCCATTATCAAGTTATAAAAGGAGATGTAGGGGTTTGAGATCATGATGGACCAAAGAGAAGAGTGAGAGAAAGGGCTGTGAGGCATTTGGATAAATTTATTCAGGAATTTTTGTAGAGCTCATCTACCTATTTTGGTGGTTTCTGGAGACAGAAGTGGGACATAAGACAGAATGTTGAACTCCTTAGAAGTTATGCCTAGTCTGGCAGAGAAGGCAGGCAAGCCATTACAATAGTGCTTGCTATCGAAGTACCTGGCATAGGGTTGGGGGGGTCGATTCTTACCTAGGATATGTTAGTCATTTCCAAATTATTGGCATAATTCTCATGGAAAAAGAGCATGTGTTCAAGTTTTATTTATCTTATTATTGAGGAGGAAACTAGCAGAATGCCAAAACTGGTTCAACAAGAACATCAGAAATGGAATTAAAAAGTCACTAGGGAAAAGCATATTACTAAAGATTGCTAAACTAGGAACAACACTGATCAATGTCCTGATGTCACTCGAGGCTCACGGGGATGTCCAAGACAGGACTCAACCCAAAGCAGCGGTGACCAGGTTCTTATCTCAGTGTAAGAAAGAATTTAAGATCAAGAGCGAGACAGGTGCAGGAAAGCGAAAGCAATTTATTGAAAATGAAAGCACATGAGAAGAAAGTGCGGGCAAGCTCTGAGAACGAGTGACACCGAGGAAGTCCCTGTTGGGGGTATTTATCCCTCCCAGGGTGGGACTTGGTGACCTCCTATTGATATGTTTATTCATCTGGTTATTTTTTGCTGCTAGACAGAAAATAATCACACTTTATCAGTCTTTTTTAGAATTTAAATTTCTGACTTTACAGAGTTGTAAAATGTCATTGCCCTAATCGATTCTGATATTAAATGAAACCAAATCACATTCCCCCAAAGTGATGACCCATAAGTGGGCTTATTAGAGCATGTCTAGCATGGCATGAAAAGGTCACATAATTTTTTCCCCCTCATTTCTGTGTCTTGAGTAATTAAAAAGGGTCAGAAGATGCTTCCCAGAGGCTGAGAGCCAATGGATGGGTGTTTGCTCAGCGAAGGGACAAGGAAGGAGGCAAAACAGCACTTGGTGTGGCAGATGAACACTAACTTTAGGGCTGGCTGAATTTTGAAAGCTTAGATCTTACAACTTTTATTTGATGGACAATAGTCCTTGATTTTTCAGGAGACTCACACATACAAAAGAGGGGAGGGAAAGAAATGCCTAATTTGCTTTGTGAACTCTTTGTAAACCATGTTAGTGACAATCTTTCGAAGAGAGAGAAATTTAAGGAACTTCACTCTCCTGCCTGGATTTCGTTACTCTTAGGCGTTTTCCTGGCATAAATATTGGCCGAGGAAAATAATAACCCTTGCACATGAGTAGGTTCTCTTCCATATTCTCCACTCACCCCATCTCTCTCATCTCTCACCTCTTCCAAATCTTATTCCTTTGGCTTCTGTTCTCAGCTGTAACCTGAAAATAGTACCCATTTCACAGGGTTATTATGAGTTTCAGAAATCATGTTAAGGAAAAGATATTCAAACACAGTAGTTATTATTTGAAGAACTTGGTACTACCAACACCCTAAGAAGGTACCCTGTGCTTGAAATGCCTCATCTCAGAGCTGGCACCAATATGGTACTCAAGCTAGAAAACAATCCGTCGCTCTGGACTTCCTTCTCTTTCCTCCATTTGTATGGCCACTACCTTAATTCAGACTTCTGTCATTTCTTGTCTGAGTTAGTGGGATCAACAGCATCACCCCCTCCCCCTCCCAATTTGCATTCTACACTACTGTAATTAGCTCATACCTGAGTTGTTGTAATACTCTAACTGGCCAGCTCAGCTCTACCCACCCCCATTCTCTCAATTCACCCTATATGCCATTACCAGATTAAGCTGTCTAAAATGATTACTAGTATTTGGGAGGCTTAGACTGGCTGGTGTTAATTGTTATACTTTGAAATTTCATTGCAACATTTAATCTTATCTTCTCTTTCTTATCCATTTACAGCATGTGTTACCTGATAGGTACAGACTACATATGCTCATAGAAGTATTTTGTCAGCTGGCTGAGTGGCTAAGTTGGCTAAGAGCTCACTCAAGAGCAACAGGGTCACCGGTTCGATTCATGGCACGAGCTGAGCTGCTGCTGAGCTGGGCTCAGCAAAAACAACAACAACAACAACAACAAAAAAAACGTAAAAGTGTTTTGTCATATATTAACTAATATTTTGGGGTTTTTTAATGTCTAATTTTTAGTGCGAATAAGTTTATTTTTCTTTTTCATCCCCCTAACGGTAGTAAGCATCACTTATAGGCAGCACTGTCAGAAGAACACTGCTTATGTGGCAGTCACACAGCAGAGATTGAGAGCATGGGTTTTGTGTACCTTGATAGATCTAAGACTAAATTTTAGCAACACTACTTACTAGCTTGTGACTTTGTTCTTGCCATATCTATAAAATGGGAATAATAACTATGGCCTCATCAGATTTTGTGATAATAAAATGAAGTCCTGAGCCTGGGACTTGGCTCCTTGGAGCAAATGGAAGCCTTTCTTGTAATTCCTGTGAATTGTAGGAAAGAATGATCCACAGTTCAGAGTAAATATACTAAGATGATTTGAAAAGTATTCCTTAAATTATGGGAGTCTCGGTTCTTTTTGCCAACGCAGTGAAGAATCAAATGTCAGCAAGCTGATTAATATGCAAGCAGGGTTTATTAGTGATACATTCTCAG